AAATTTGGTCTATACTCAAACGAAAAGGGGGTCCGTGCGCAATGTTCGACGAACGCTCTGAGAGCTGATAGGCTCGTCATCCATTCCACGTTCATGACGGCCTGCTGGGAAGTAGTGGATAACATTGTGATTGCTTGCTTGTGACTTGTCTTTCGTTTCAAAATTACGCTTTGCGACACTTTCCCAACGCAGAAAAATCAAGAGACGTATTATAATGGATTGTGGGACCCCCTCTTAGCAAGTAGGGTAAGGCTTGGCCATTTCTTTCGCAGGCCACCCAAAAAGAAATAAAAATTGCCCCACACTTTAAAAAAAAAAAACAACAAAGGGAAGAGGCCAATACAAGCGTATAGGCATATTCTTTGTCACAAGAAGAAAAAGTTTGGTCTGGGTGCCAAAAAAATCCCGGACGGCTGCGGGAGGCGCCGTCTCCGCAGGGCGGTGGTTGCAGGCGCTGGCGGTGCGGTTCGGTACAAATCCTTTATTCCTGCAGTATTTCCTATTAAGGGTTGTGGGCGTGCGGCTTTTATTGTTTAGTTTGGTACCGCCCGGGCTTCGAAACAAAACTTATTTACCGCCAAACGCGCCCAAGTTGGCCATATGAGGCTCTAAAAGGCATTGAAAACGGCACTTACTCAGCCCCCGGCTGGTTCATAGACCTCTTCCGCATTGGCGGTTGGTGCCGGCATGTGGGGGTTTGGTGCGTTTTGGTTAAGGGCGCAGGGGAAGCCTTGGTATTGAGTGGTGCGTGGCAACCGGTGCTTTTTATGATTTTTCCATGAGAAAGCGGGGGCTTTTCATATGGGCTCGCGCGCTTATCATTCCCATTTGAAGGGTGTGATCGCTCTTTGCGTTTATACCGCTAAAACTGCGCGCGTTATGCGAAGGCGCGATGCATTTGCCGATGCTTTGGTAAATAAGGCGTCTGTTGTGGGGAACGTTTTGCGCAATGTTCGTATAAAAAATACTTTGGAACGCGTTGCTTCAGAAGCAAACCGTGCAGATGGAATTTCAAGGGGCCTATCCATTAACCGCATAGAAATTGCAACGGGGTGGTCCTTGCAAAAGGGAGCGTGGGAACTGGGCGAAAGACCCTTTCAGGGCCTTTTTTTCTCCGGCGCCTCTTTTGTTTAAGGGGCGCGGGTGGCCTTGTAAGGGTGTCTATTTCGTGGGTTGGTCCGGATTTAGAAGTTTTACAATTTGATGGGGTTAATTTTTGATTAAACCACAATATGCATTCTACTTTTTATTATTTTTAAATTTATTAAGGGGGGGGGGGTAACCATCGATTCGCCATTTCCAAGCGGCATCGCCCCTCGGAAGGGGGGTGGGGGCTTTTCAGCCCCATGCCGGCGCACGCGCGCGGCGGCCTTTGTCCGCAGGCTGTGGCATCTCCGTGATGTAAAGTTTGTCGGGGCCACCTGGGGTGGGCTTTGCCGCAGCAGGGGGAAGGCGCACAGAACAAACCCCCAACCCCATTCCTGATTCCAGATGGGCGCTGGGTTGTGTAAACCGAAGGCCTAGGGGGCGCGCGGGTCTTATCCCTACCTGCGCCTCGTCCCTGGTGCGGGTTGGTGCGCC